GTCAGGAACTAAACAATTTTAAGTTTAGATAGTGTCAGGATCTAAACAATTTGAAGTTTAGCTAGTGTCAGAAATAAACAATTTGAAGTTTAGCTAGTGTCAGAAACTAAACAATTTGAAGTTTAGATAGTGTCAGGAACTAAACAATTTGAAGTTTAGATAGTGTCAGAAACTAAACAATTTTAAGTTTAGATAGTGTCAGGAACTAAACAATTTTAAGTTTAGATAGTGTCAGGAACTAAACAATTTGAAGTTTAGCTAGTGTCAGAAACTAAACAATTTGAAGTTTAGCTAGTGTCAGAAACTAAACAATTTGAAGTTTAGCTAGTGTCAGAAACTAAACAATTTGAAGTTTAGATAGTGTTAGGAACTAAGCAATTTTAAGTTTAGTCTCAGGATCAAGAGGGTTTGTCTAAATTATTGTGTACTGGATAAAGTTAAGTTATATGTGAAACTTGTTTGCTAACAACACTGACAAACTCACCTATCTTTTATAACGTTTAATTCCATTAAAATGAGATAACGTTTAGTTTTCAGCTTAAGAAAAGGGTAAAACTGAATAGCAATTTTTTTTAGGCTCTGTTATTTTATCTTTTACTTTAAAACTATAAACTTATAACCAGTAGTTACAAAAAGAAGAAAAAGACACTTTATAATATTTGAATTTATACTCTCTTGACATACATACCCGTCTGTTCTCACTTTTACAAACTCCCAGTGGACTTTTAGTAGCTGGCATGGTCATTGTAGCTGTGTGCCTTCAGCAGAGAGGAATGGAAAATGTAAGCGCACACACACACTCACTGTGTAGATTCACTGATAAAAGATCGCTTTTCCGGATTTGACTCTCTGGGACGTCACCCGTCGAAATGAGCGAAAGCACGTGGCTCCGCGACCTTTAGTCGGTAGCATGCGTGATGAGACTCAAATGACCAATCAGTGCCCTCCGATGTTTCGTTTCACGTGCGGGTGTGCCTGCGTACCTTGCAATAGGCTTTCCACTATTGGCTAATAGCCTCAGGTAGTGCAATGAAGGCTCGTGATGAAGGGGCAGTGCCGCAAGGGAGCACACGTGCCACCGGTGGTGATAATAGACCAAGAGAACGTAGAATGCTGTGGGAAAACCACTCCCACCGCTCATGCTCTTGGAACTATTTCCCCTGATTCATAGCCTTCAAGACTGACCCCAGAGTAAACAAGCACATTGGAACCACACATTATCCCCCCCTCCCCCCACTACACACACACACACACAACATGCGTTTCATGAACGAAGTTCGTCAGTGTTTAAAATCATCTCGGTGACTTTATTTATGCACCCCAGGTAATCAACATTACAGTTATAAATATATACATATACATTATTTTACAGCTTTTTTATTGCCTTTAGGATTAGACTATACCAAAGATGAAAAACATTTCCGACTCCATAAAATAACATGGTTGAAAAAAAAAGAAAATTGGATAATTAGTAAAAGAACACTTTTTTTCTCTCTCTCTTCTTAAATTGCCGCATTCCTCTGTAGTCACCCAACTACCTGAACAGCGCCCGAGCTTCAAACGCACGTGCCATGCAATTGGCTGGACGAATGTTTATAGAATCCCCGAGACACCACGCTTGCGGGTGTTAGCTTGTAAAGGAAAGCACCGAACGAAGAAGACACCAGTTTCTGTAGCACATGACGGTTATTTTATTTAAAAATCTCCTGATTAAGAGCTGATTGGTTACTGAAACCGATTTTCCTCGTGCTTCCCTAGTCGTAATATATTCTCTTTCATTTCTTTCCCTTTCTCTATTAGTGGTATAAAAACCTCGATGTGTTGTAGTTTCGACGTTGATATTATCCTGCAAAGTAAGGAAACAGAAACTAAGTATTTAGAAAGAAACTCTGTTAATCAGATCAATCTACTGGATGATCGACGTGGTTATAAATGTAGCTAATTAAACACACTTTTCCTACGTTCTTGCTTACATAAGTGAGCAATGCATCGTTTCATCAGTTAACGATATTTTCACTTACAACGCACGGATAGAGGAGAATGGAGGGGTGAGGATCTTTGGACTTTATCTATACACTCTGCTAATGTTGTATTTGCCTTTTTGGTTTTTTTTCTTTTGTGGTTGGAGTGAACATTTTTTAGTGTACGGGAGTCTTGAACCCTGGCCTCTTACTTCCTCCAGACCCTCATAAATTCTGAATGTCAGCTTAAATACACGTCTGTTTAAAAAACAACAACACCACCAACCTGTGACGTTGTTTATTTTATATCCACTGACTGCTACATTTGGTCGTGAAGACATAAAAACCTTGATTCTAAATGTTACTTTGTACAACTTGTTACACCTATATACCGGTACGTGGATCCAAGTAAGTTGGAAAGGCCTAACGAATTACTGTTCAAAGATAGTATACAAAGAAAGGGAGAGAGAGAGAGAGGAGTATGTTTTGTAGTACACGAGTTGAAACTAAACACCTGCACTGCACGTTGAACATGTAGATCGTATCACGCGCTGCACGTGAGATCCTTAGACAATATGATATTATTTACGCGTGCACAGTGCATACGTATTCTTGTAAACTTTCCCAGAAGGCCATAACTTAGGTTACCAGTGTGTCTAACCCTTTCACTTTGTATATTAAAGTATGTAAAGCAAAGCGTTTTCTATTTCCTCTTCTTCTGGCTTAATCCTCACCAGGTGTTTCTTTCGTCACGTGTTTCAGAAGCACTGGAACTCATATCCGAATTAACCCACAGACTAAACTCTACAACAAGAGAACAACAAAGTATCAACACATAATACAGCGTTACGCCTCTCGTTGACCAGTCTACTCTGTAAATAAGGCTGAAAGTGAAAATAAACATCTGAAGATTTAAATGTTGATCTTGCTGGAAAGAGCGAGCGAATCTTGTTTCTGAACAAGCTCTTTTTCTTCGAGGGGGATGAAATAACTGAAAGTAGGTCAAGAGACATATGCAATAGACAGGTAATCCCTTAGGCTCTCCATGTGATCATAACACGTTCTATATTGTTGTTTTTTTTTTTACTATCCTGTACTTATCTAACCATTTATGTTTTACGTGCAGGTTTATTGTCATTAATTGTGTGTGTGTGTGTGAGAGAGAGAGAGAGTTCGTGTATACTGACACACATTTTGAGATGACAGCCACGAGCTTGATTCCTATGTATAAGGATCATATCTCCCAAATCTATTTGGCACGCTGTGTTAATCCGGATTTTTTTTAGGTCTCGATATCGAACCCATGATCTCTTACGCGTCAAGCGCGCGCTTTGCAATCCGAACAAGAATGTTACCCCCTCTCCCCCTCCCCCACCTTTCGCTAATAACTTACTTTTTTAAAAACAACTAAAAAAAACTACGCAAGGTTTAAGTTATTATGATAATTGGAAATCCTGAAGCAAAGTTTGCAAACCCAACTGGTCAGTGTTTGGGGTTTCAAAACCGAATTCTAAGTCTGCTGTGCTGTTCATTGATTTCAACCATTTCTTTGTGTATTCAGATTTATCAGACTGTTATTCTAACAATGTCCCTCACAATACGCTTTTTGCTAATCGCTATATAACATAGTTCTCAGAAAAGTAGGAAACAATTATGGAGCTGTTAATAAAACCCTCGTCGCCGACCATGATTACCCTTTCAGCCGTTATAATGCAACGGTCAATCCCACTATTCGTTGGTTAAAGAGTAGCCGAAGAGTTGGCGATCGATCGGCGGTGTTGACTATCTCCTTCCTTCTAGTTTATCCCTAAATTAAGGACGGCTACCCGGCGAGAAACCGCTACCAGGTAAAACATCTCCGAGAGTCATCGGTGATGCACGAGCTTATAAGGTGCCACAACGGTTGTAAGCAGCCTCGGGACTTAAGAAAAACGAAGAAGCTTAATTATAGCGCATGAAATGGACCTATCCTTCAACGTCTAGAAAATTTAGTTATATTATACACAAGTGTTCATCGGTCTAGCAGATGTAGCTATATTATATACAAGTGTTCATCGGTGTAGCAGATGTATCTATATTATACACAAGTGTTCATTGGCCTAGCAGATGTAGCTATATTATACACAAGTGTTCATCGGTCTAGCAGATGTAGCTATATTATACACAAGTGTTCATTGGTCTAGCAGATGTAGCTATATTCTACACAAGTGTTCATTGGTCTAGCACATGTAGCTATATTATACACAAGTGTTCATCGGTCTAGCAGATGTAGCTATATTATACACAAGTGTTCATTGGTGTAGCAGATGTAGCTATATTATACACAAGTGTTCATCGGTCTAGCAGATGTAGCTATATTATACACAAGTGTTCATCGGTGTAGCAGATGTAGCTATATTATGCACAAGTGTTCATCGGTCTAGCAGATGTAGCTATATTATACACAAGTGTTCATCGGTCTAGCAGATGTAGCTATATTATACACAAGTGTTCATTGGCCTAGCAGATGTAGCTATATTATACACAAGTGGTCATTGGTCTAGCAGATGTAGCTATATTATACACAAGTGGTCATTGGTCTAGCAGATGTAGCTATATTCTACACAAGTGTTCATTGGCCTAGCAGATGTAGCTATATTATACACAAGTGTTCATCGGTCTAGCAGATGTAGCTATATTATACACAAGTGTTCATCGGTCTAGCAGATGTAGCTATATTATACACAAGTGTTCATCGGTCTA